TTTTACATTCTACTCGAATTTTTGTATCTTTTATTTTGTTGAGGGGTTTTTTTTTATTACTTGTTTTAAGAAATTTGCTGGATTATTATTGGATTACAAAAAATTATTGTTGGGTTATTATTATGGTTATTATGTTGGATGATCCTTTTTTTTTTTTTTAATCTTATAGAAATATAACACCTTTTTACATACAAGCTGAAAAAAAAATTTTATTCTCTATATATTTTTGTTTATATTTTGTCTCTCGAAATACCAATATAAAAAACTTTTAGATTTGGGTTAAATTTCGAAATATGATAACTGATATTTATATCATGTTGAAAGATTACCTTGTTGTTGGACATTCGGTAAAGAAACAAGGTCCTGTATAAAAAAAAACAAAAAAAAAATATAGAGATTTATATTACTTTTTTTTAAAAATTATCACTTTTTTTTTTTGGGCATCCTTCAATTCTTTGATTCATATTACTATGTATGAATCTTTTATGGAGGTTAGCTCATCTTTCTCGAAAAAAAAACAAAAAAAAAATACATTTGTACAAAATTTTTTTTTCCCTTTTTTTTTTTGATTATTATTCCATAAACATTTTAAGAATCGAAAAATTTTCTTTTTTTTTTCATCTGTACATAAGTTTTTTATATACGTATATATATATATATATATTATTTTTAGGAAAAATCCACAAAATTAAATTTGTGAAAGATATTATAAGTTTAGCAAGTTTTCTATTTTATATAAAAATTTTATATGTAGTGTTAGTTTTATATTTTTTTTTTATGATTTTTTTTTTTTATTTTTTTATCGCATATATTTTTTTAAAAAAAAAAAAAAAAAAAAAAAAAAAAGGAAAAAAGCTGTGACTAAAAAGAAAAAAAAAAATTAAAAAACATTTATTAGCCAATACTACATATATTACATATATACATATAAGTCAGTACGTATAAATCAATATCAGGTACGTACGTATTTAAAAAACCGTTAAAAATACGGTATATCTGACGAAATATATTGATGAACTACTTATTACGTTTTTTTATATGGGTGACGCCAAGGGAAAAATCCGACTCTGTTTTTTTAAATATATTTTTTTTTATCGGACCTTAAAAAGTCTAGACCATTGATCCTTTGATATGTTTTTTGATCGAGAAAATGAATTTTTTTTTATCGGACTCAACTGAGTCCGATTGTCGTCATTCATATTTGTCTTATTTTTTTTGATCGAGAAAATGAATTTAAGAAATATTTTTTTTTTTAAAAAAAAACCAATCAATTAAGTTTTTTTTTTTTTTGAAATTATCATTATTAGAATTTTAATTAATTATTTTAATGCTAACTAATGATATCTATCAATACGGATAAATCCTAACTTACAAAATATATATAAGTACAGTATTTTGTGAAATATTTTGATCTCGATATCTATGACGCAACAAACAAAAATCATGTAGTACTTATCATGTGATAATATATGCAAAATTTTAATTGTTCGTGTTCATTTTTAATTAAAGTTAAACGTTTAACCTTTTTTTTTCTTATTTTAAAATCTGATCAAACTATTAAACGTTATTTAGTTCAAAGATTAAATATATTTCTTTACCATGGATCTACGATCGTGGGTTTCTGACAACACGCTAAAGGTATTTCTTTGATCATAATCGATTAACTTTTTTTTTTTAATATATACTAATTTCAATAATATACACAGTTGGTTGGAATGTCCGAAGCAACTATAGTTGATTACATGATCGCTGAAGGTTAGTTTCTAAAAAAAAATTAATTATAGCATTTTCTTTATCCATTTGGTCAATAATTTCATTAATTTATATACTTTTAATGTTTAGCACAATATGCTAAAAGTAGAGAGTCCTTACGTGAAACGTTGAGTGAGTTACCACAAACTGCAGAAGCTCAGCGATTCATTAATGAACTTTTTGATAGAGTTCCTCGAAAGAGTTCATCAAGTGTAAATTTCAAAATTACCTTTTAATTTTTTTTTTTTGATTAAATTACATAGTAACAATTGATTAATATAAATAATAATAGGATATAACATCAAAACGAAAAAGACAAGAACAAGAAACAAAAAAATTGGTTGAAAAAAATCAAAAATCTTATACATTACTTCATGATACTGATGATTATTTGAATGAACAATATTCAAAAAAATCTAAAAAATCTAAAAAAGAAAAAAATTTACGTAAAAAAGATACTTTAAATGGTTGGGAAAGTGATCAAGAAGATAAATCTATTAAAAATACGGAAATTAAAGATGGTAATATTTTATTCATTCATTGGTAGTGATAATCCGTGTTATTTAACTTTATGTTTAAATTTTAATAGAATCAGAAGATGAGTACATAAAAGAAGAAAATGAAAAAATTCAAGATATAAAAGAAAGAGATGAATACGCTAAACGTTTAAGAGAAAAAGATAAGGAAAGAACGAAAAAGGTTGGCGAATAATATATTATTAAATTAAATAATATATTATCGCGGTTTTCGAATAGCAAATAAAAAAATTTTATTTATTTTTTTTTTTGGCGAATACTACGAATATTCGAATACTTGAATACTTGATTACCTTAGCACATTGATTGAAGATCGATGCGTACATACGCAATTGTTTACCAAAACAATTAGCATTGCAATCAAGGTGATAAGGTACTCGAGTACTTGAGTATTCGAGTATTCGCAATAGTTTGCCATTTTCAACCATTTCAAAAACCGCGATAAATAATTTATTATTAAAAAAGAACAGACTAATAGACAACTTGATAGAATTCTAATTATTATTTTATTATTATTTCATAATTATTTTATTATTATTTGTTTCATAGCTTGTAGAAGATCGATCATCAAAAGCAGATAGTGAAACTGCTAAACGGAGAAATCTTGCTGATGATTCTGAAGCACGTAAACAACTTCTTCCAGAAATTCGTGAAAGATCACGACAAACTTACCTAAAAGATCGAACAGATAAACAATTACAAATGTTAGAATTAAGTGTTCTTGATGAGGATATGTTGTTTAAAGATGAAAAACTTTCTAAAAGGGAAAGAAGGGAGCTTGAAACAAAAAAAGAAACTTTAAGATTAACGAAAGAGAGACTTAGCCTTTCTGGAAAGACTGATGAATACTCAATGCCAGAAGGTTATATATCTATTTATAATATTTATTACATAGTTGTGTAAGTATCAAATGTTAACATTTCAATTTCAATTTCATTCTATAGATTATATAACAGAGAAAGGAAAAATAGATAAAAAAAGAAAAGAATCTGTTTTGTATCAACGTTATGAGGAAGATCGTGACCCAAGTAAATTTGTCACCGATCAAGATCAATGGGAACAAACTCAAATAGTAAAATCTCAATTAAAAGTTGGTGCTCAAGATAGAATAAAAGAAGAGGAGGATTATAGTTATGTTTTTGATGATCAAGCCATTGATTTTCTTGATTGGGATTGGAAATCGAATGATAAAGAAGATGAAACGATGGCTAAAATTGATGAAGCTGAACGAAAGGGTGTGTGCATTTTTTTAAACTTAACTGTAAATAAAATAGATAAATAAATATGTATTTGTGTATTTATATTTATCATTTATATATTTATTATTCATATATTTATTATTCATATATTTATCATTCATATATTTATCATTTATATATTTATCATTTATATATATTTATCTGATTTTTTTTAGCAAAAACGATCGAGGAAACGCGCAAGTCTTTGCCCATATTTTCTTTTAGAGAAGACTTACTTAATGCTATAAAGGAATACCAAACTTTGGTGATTGTTGGTGAAACGGGGTCAGGAAAGACTACACAATTGCCTCAATATCTATATGAAGCAGGCTATACAAAAGGAGGGAAAAAAGTTTGTTGTACACAACCAAGGAGAGTTGCTGCAATGAGTGTTGCCGCTCGTGTAGCTGAAGAAATGGGTGTAAAACTTGGATATGAGGTAAATGACACATGAAACGTAGTGAAATTTTTTATAAATTTTATCTAATATGTTATCTTTATAGGTTGGATACGCGATTAGGTTCGAGGATTGTACTTCAGACAAAACTATAATTAAATATATGACCGACGGTACTCTTCTCCGTGAATTTTTATCCACACCTTTATTAGATGATTATAATTGTTTAATAATCGATGAGGCACACGAAAGAACTTTACATACTGACATCCTATTCGGATTAGTAAAGGTAATATTAACATTTAATTATTTTTCCCTAATAAAACTTTAGAATTATGATAAATGGCATTAATATCTTTTTTTTTCTTAATAATTCGAGGATATTGCCCGTGTAAGGCCTGATCTCAAACTTATAATATCAAGTGCTACTTTAGATGCTCAAAAGTTTGCAGAATACTTTGATGCTCCAATTTTCAATAGTAAGAATTTAAACATTACATTTATTTTATTTATTCCATTCATTCCATTCATATTACATAAATAACACCTTTTTATTCCAAACTATAAAGTTCCTGGTAAGCCCTATCCTGTGCAAGTATGCTACACTAAAGCACCTGAAGCAAATTATGTATCCGCTGCCATTACTACGGTAATGCAATTGCACATTTCACAAAAGAATGGTGACATATTGGTTTTCCTTACGGTAAGTATAAATATAATTGCATGTTTTAATATTCTGATGTTTAAATATTCGTTAATTAATGTATTTAATGAAGTTTTTTTTATTACAAATACTATAATTATTCCACTTTTACAGGGACAAGATGAAATTGAAGCTGTGCAAGAAAGTTTACAACATACCTGTAGGGTTCTTGGAAGCAAAATACGTGAACTTATAATATGTCCTATATATGCGAACCTTCCTCCTGATATGCAAAATAAAATTTTCGAACCAACACCTCCTGGAGCTCGAAAGGTATTTTATATATATGTTAAGAAATATGGTCAAATTAATTAATTAATTCATTCATTCATTAATTCATTAATTCATTAATTAATTAATTTATTTATTTATTTATTTGTCTTTATTTATTTGTAATGTAGGTCATTTTAGCTACCAATATAGCCGAAACTTCAATTACTATTGATGGTGTTACATTTGTTATTGATCCAGGTTTTGTTAAACAAAATGTATACAGTCCAAAAACAAGAATGGAATCATTGTTAGTTGTTCCAGTAGGTATTAATCAATTTTTGATGTTCATATCATATCATAAACGCTGTATAAACATTATTTTTAAATTATTTCACAGTGTTCAAGAGCTTCAGCAGTTCAGAGATCTGGAAGAGCTGGACGTGTTGGACCAGGTCATTGTTTTAGATTATATACTCAACATGCGTTTCACAACGAGTTGGAAGAAAACACTGTTCCTGAAATTCAAAGAACTAATTTAGCTAATGTGGTTTTGACATTAAAGGTTTTTTTTTTTTCTCTAAAACATAATATTGCATTGTTTATATGTATATTGTTTATAAAAAGTCTAATTGTGACTATTTCAGAGTATAGGAATTCATGATGTGATGAGGTTCGAGTTTATGGATCCTCCTCATGAACAAGCGTTAATAGCTGCGCTTAACGATTTATACGCTCTTGGAGCTCTAAATAATAATGGAGAATTGACTAAATTAGGAAGACGCATGGCTGAATTTCCTTTGGATCCATTTTTATCCAAGTCGATAATATGGTCGGAAAGATATAATTGTACAGAAGAGGTGAGGATTTTTAGTTTCTCTACATGCTATTGTAATATCTTCTTTTCTACATGCTATTGTAATATCTTAATGTTTAATTATTTTGTATCCATTTACGTTTATAGGTGATATCTATTATTAGCATGCTTACTGTTCAAAGTTCCGTTTTTTATCGACCAAAAGACAAAAAATTTCATGCAGATAAAGCTCGCCAGAATTTTATTCGTCCTGGTGGTGATCATTTCACGTTATTAAATGTTTGGGAACAAGTAAGTCGAATAAACAATGATAAAATGATCCTTTTTCTCAATTTATTAATTCTTGGTGTAATTAATTTATTTTCATTTAATTAATATTCAGTGGGTAGATACAAACTATTCAATGAATTGGTGTTATGAAAATTTTGTAGTTTATCGTTCAATGTCTAGAGCGAGAGATGTTCGTGATCAACTTGTTGGTCTTTGTGAACGTGCTGAAGTAGATTTGAAGTCTAACCCAAATCCTGGTGACATAGTACCAATTCAAAAAGTATGGAATAATAATATTTTTAATATCATGATTTTAATTGTAAGTTAAAATTATTTTAATAACATAATCCATGTTTTCTTAGTCAATTGTATCAGGATTCTTTATGAATGCTGCAAGGCTTTCACGTTTTGGTGAATCATACCAAAAAGCAAAGTATGGTGAACCAGGTCGAACAATACATGTTCATCCCAGTAGTTCATTATTCCAAGTAAATCCAAAATGGATTATATTTTATGAATTAGTACTTACGAGTAAGGAGTATATGCGTCAAGTAATGGAAATTAAACCTGAATGGTTAATAGAAGGTTTGTTTTTTTAATTTATAAATCTTAAAAATGCTCGTTTTTTGAATGAAATATTAACCTAAATTTTTAATAATTTTTAATAATTTTTAATAATAGCCGCTCCATATTATTATTCAAAGTCAGAATTGGATAATTTAGATGGTAAAAAGAAAATGCCAAAAAATAATAATGGCGAAAAAAAAAATAATGATGCCGCATAATTTTTAATAATTAGCAAAACGGAATATTATGTAGTAATTTTAAATAATTATAATTAAAAGGTTTAAAAAAACTTTGCAAATTTTATTATTGTAACTCAATTTTATGTAATTAAAGTTTTTAAACATAGATTAGATTTGATTAATAAAAAAATTTTTTTAGTATATTATAGATGTACTTATTGAATTATATGTAAGTATATAATTTTCAATCTTGAAAATTTTATTTTTAAACTAATATAAACTAATATTTAAGAAAAATTTATTTGTCACAATATACATATATAGTGGTTATAATCACAAGCCAATTAGATTGTATAATTTAAACTTAAAAATCTTAATTTATACAGTCAAACCTCTATATAATTACACAAAAATCAGTGATGATATGAGTGTCGCTAAAAGAAAACCCGACAATTGAAATATAAGTCAAATTTAAATTTCCGAGTTTTCTTTTAGCGACACTCATATAGAGGTATACTCTTATAGAATATTCTCTCTATATATAATCACATCTATATAGAGGTTTTATTAATTTAAAAATTTTTTTAAAAAAATTGATCGTTGTAGCTATATATATTAAAGTCAAATTCTACTAAGTTAACTGATAATGATATATAATATAGGATATTAATATTGTCTATAAAGGTTGATATAGCATATCACTAGTGTTAACACTATACTTATAATTTTAACCAATCAAATTTGTTAAATAAAAAAATATAATACATAATATAATTTATATTCAATACTATTTTTTTAAAATTTAATAAAGTTTTTTATAAGCTAATTTTTTTTGAGTTTCTAAATAAAATTGTAGAATGGATTTTTTTGGTTTTAATAATAGTTAAATTATCAAAATTATCCTGATAAATTTCAAGATATTTGAGATTAAAGAAATAAATATAATGATTGGCAAATTGGTAGTTATACAAAAAATTATAGTTTCTAATATACATGTAACCAAAATTCTTGAATTTTTGGACCTAGTTTTAGTTTTGGATTTTATCAATTTTCGGTTTAGGATGATTATTAATCTTTGGTCAAAAGGCTAATTGAAGTTGAATTTAATTGAAACCTTTATATGTAAATTAAAATTCTAAATAAAGCATTGTATAGTAATTGAAATTCTTAAAAATGATAACAATAAATATTGCAGATTATAATGAAATCAGATTAAAATAAAATGAAGGGTTTTTATTTGACTTTTTAAAACTTACTTATACTTGTTTATTATAAAACCTGCTTCTAAACTCTAATTCTAACCCTAAAAAATACTAAAAAATGTATTCCAAAAATTTGTATTTTTCAATAGCTTGTTTATTTTACACTATCTCCTATTTTATTTTAATCTAATTTTATTTTAATCTGCTATAATAAATAAAATTAATAGATAATTTACCAGTCATCTGGAGAGCTATGTGATGCAGGTTACATGAGATTTATATATAAATTATATATAAAATCTTCAAATAGT